CTCGCATGAATCGGCATTCCGCTCAACCATTTCAGGCATAGTATCGTATCTAAGGTTCCAGTGAGTCCTTGGCAAAGAAAATGGCCACGTCCAGAGATTACATTAAATTCGGAAAGGTTTCTATACTTGCTCGGAGACAAGAGTTCGCACAAAGCCACAAACCTCTGATTAAAGCAGATAAGATTCCTCGTACGGAAGCTGGCTATTGTGTCAATGATGATAATATTGCTGCTATTGACTTTGGTACCACATCAGTTTCACTGGCTTACAGTATTACTAGTAGATTAATCAGAGATGCAAAGGATGCTGGCCTGGGGGTAAACACACTTGTACTTGATCGTGAAGACCATTCCAACCGAGTCCCAAATGCTATTCTACTAAAAAGAAATAGAAGGAAGCTGGAGGTAGAAGATTTTGGAACATCAGCTCGCAAAAAGTTTGAAACAAAAAAAGCTAGCGAATACTCACAATATGTCTATTTTGAAAGAATCAAAATGCTGTTAAAAAGAGATCAAGTAAGTTTTCAATTCACAGTTTATAAACATATTTTTTTGTAAATATAGAGTATTGACAGACAGACACTTGTTGAGTCATTTTCTGGTGAGAAATTTTACCTTGTTGAAGTCATTGCATTTATTCTTCAATGCATAAAGAGAAAGCTTATTATTCAGCTCAATCGTAATGAAGATTCTTTCAAGACAACTGATTTCTATTGGGTCATTACTGTTCCTGCTATATGGGATGCACGAGGAAAAAGAATGATGAGAGAAGCTGCTTATATGGTAAGAGTATAGTCTATATACTTGTTTCTCATGCACAGCAGCACATGCATGTTTGAGAGTTTAAAGTATTACGCTAGCCTGGCTGACATTTTGCTGATGCTGAATTATTGGCTCTAATCTATAGTTGTGCATTATGTCAAAAGGTCAAATTGCACATGCTTTTGATTAAAAATTGACATTGCGCTTGGCCTAGAGTCATATTGTAAACCTGCCTTATAATGCACATTGTGTACAAATCTTTATAAAAATTAATAATTTCTTTTATAGGCCGGTTTGCTGACTGAATCAACTAATATAGATCATTTAACTCCAGTTTCTGGCCGTCCACTTCCTCTTCCAATTGAAGTTAACCCAGACAAGTTATCATTAGCACTTGAGCCTGAATCAGCAGCTTTTTATAGTCAAAAAATTGTGGAAGGGCAAATTACAAGTGATCCATCAAAAGCAGCTATTGCTCATCCTACAAAATACATGGTGTTAGATATTGGAGGAGGTACTGTTGATGTTACATCCCATGTTGAAGTTGATGGTGGGGTTGTGGTTGAGAATATACCAATTGGAAATGCATGGGGTGGTACACAAGTTAATGAAGCTTTTTCTAAATTATTGCAGGATATAGTTAATGATCCTGGATTCAAAAAGTTTTTAGCTTCACGAGATCAATCTCAGAGCATGGCTATTTTAAATGGAATTCTTTACAGAGAGTTTGAAGACCAGAAATTACTTTTTGGTCAAGGCAAAACAGAAGAGATCACCATTAATCTGCCACGTCCATTTGCAGAGTTTTTTGATGGTGCACTTGAAGCTGGCACTAGAGAAATGCAAGGTGTTGAGTATGAAGATGACACACTGTACATAGATAGAGCAGTGGTAGAGTTGAAGTTGTTTAGTCCTGTTCTTGATGGTATAAAAAAGTGCGCTTTGAATGCTGTTAAAGGAAATGATTATGAGGTTGATACTTTTTATCTGGTTGGGGGATTTGGAGGCTGCAAGTATGTCCATGAGAAACTTTCTCCTGCTATAAAAGAGGTTTATAGTTCAAAGGGGAGACAATGCACTGTGCTGGTACCACCTGATCCTCATCTTGCTGTTGCAACAGGAGCTGTTATGTGGCGTAAAAATCCTGACATAGTGAAGGCTAGGCGTTCTGATGCTACATATGGCATTGGTATATGTATTGTGTTTGATCCTAACCTACATGATGAGCATTACAAGTATTATGATGAAGAAGATGGACTGTATCGATGTGATAATGTTTTTAGCGTTTTCCTGGAGAAGGGTGAACTAACGAAAGCTGATGAAGCAATCACCATTGGTCTGGTTCCTTTTAAGCAGTCTAACACGCAATCTTTGATTGAAATCTACTGTACACCTGATCTTGGTGTCCAATACATAGCAGATAAAAATGGTACAGAGATTGTTACAAAAATAGGCCAACTACTTATTGATATTCCTAATCCGGACAACTTGCCAAAATATCAACGTAAAATTGATATTACCATGTATTTCAGTGATACAGAGATACAAGCTAAAGCAAAGTATTGTGTGAACGGAAAAGAGGTTAAGACTGTCTGTGACTTTCTTTCTGCCAAATAAACCTATTAACTCAAAACTGTCTATAGGTCTATAGTCTTGTTTTTTATGATTATCAAAAATTAATTATTTAGTCCGCATATAATAACTATATC